GCATCTTCCCAGTTTAGATATTAGGAAAAGCAAAGGATGTAAAATTATAAACTGTAAAGTTACATCCTGTTCTATAGATTCAGCAATCCACTGGTCAATCTTTTATATACTGAGTCATGTTAAATCTTTGAATTATTTGGTTGATACATTACAAAATAAAGCTAAACATTTTCCTCTACTGACAAAATCTGAGGGAATATCAATTAAAAAAATCAACTGGGGAACGTATTATCCCCTTTGCTGTTCTTCCCACCACCTAAGTTGAAATGGCAGAAAATCATGGACTGAAAAATGAAGGAGTTTTTCAGGAATAAGGGTCCCTAACACAGTTTAATTTTCAATAAAGGCATATATAATGTCACTCCAGATCAATATCAGTCCTGTGCTTTAGGGGAAGTTTTCAAGGTGCATCTGGCAAATTTTAGCTTTAATTTAGCCTTAACTCACTTATACTGTGCTATGAAATCTATGGGTTTCAGATGCCAGATCTGTTCCTGCTTTGCTGTGTAAAGGTGGGGCAAAACAAACCCCTGGACTGATCAGTCCAGAAATCTGTGAATCTAACTCTGTAGCTTTTGCTTTGGAGTAGACAAGAATAATTGTCATAGGAAATAAGGGCATTATAAAACACTAACAACATTCTTTGCAAATAACAGAACCCCATGCAATGCCATACGTTTACTTTTCCTTTTCTATTCGATATTTCATAAAATAACCAGCGAAAGTGAGTTTGTGTTTAGTGTTCAAAGACACATTGCGATTACATAGCACGTTCAATAAAGAAACTCCAAACTGTAAGATTTTTCTGTATGTGTATAACCAGTAAACTCAGCTGTGCATGCCATCTGAGTATCAGACTAATTCTTACTCAAATGTTCCTCATTTTTGTGTTAACCCTACCTTCTGTCTGGAAGAAAGTAAATTTTTACATAAGGATTCCTTGGCCTCCCATCTTCCCTTGAAGGAAGATCTTTTGCTCCCAATATTGTCACTATTAACTGATGACCAACCTTGTCATACCACAGTTTTATCTGCAATGAGAAAATATTAATTAGTGAACTAATTTCTTCAACAAAGTAGTATATTAATCCTTAAAATTATTTTTTCTCATAAGCTTCTACTTATATTGGTTACTTATACAGAAAATATCATGTTCTACTTTGTATTTATAACAAAGTATTAAACTAAATTAATACTATAATAGCTTCAGTATGTACCAAGAGTTACTCCTTTTAAAAAACCCTGTACAACGACTACATTATTTCATACTAAATTGTTTTTCATGTGATGCTCTGGTTAGGATTATTCTCTCTTGGCAGTGATACTGTATTACTTGCAGTGCTGATGCATGGTATTCATATATATATATTTGTAAGGAGTTTATACAAAATGAATGAATGAATGAATTTTCCATGTCCTGTTGTGCTGGAAAGACTATAGGATAAGACCATAAATACTTCAAATTTCTGAATCTTTTTCAAGATGCAGAGACTCATGCTGAAATCATATAAAACCTCCAGAAATTTTAAGACAGGGAGGCTCAGCAGTCCAACCCTCTTCACAGTCCAACTCAGCAACAACAAGGCAAAAACTATTACTCATCTTTAGAAATCGTTACTAACCAGTCTCAGAGTTGGTCTGCTATCCTTTTTTACTACAGTCATTAGAAGCTGCTATTTAGCTATTTCAGTTTGAATACTACACCTGCAAATAACATATTCAAATATGTCACAAGCTGTGACATTTGAGGAAACATTAACCCTGCCTGAACTTAGGGAAATTGAAGAGCATTAACGCTCACCTCCACAGCTAACCAAGCAGTGCACTTGTAGGCACGAATATACCCTAGCTATGGTAAACATAACAAGGGGCCCGTCTCACATAATTTCAGAGACAGGATCCCCATCTGCTGTCGTAGATCCTCATGTTCAGCATTTTAGTCACTTAAAGAAAGATCTTGATGCAATTCTCAAGCCTTTTGACCCACCAAGAGGTTGATTTAGCTTTCGGCCATTCCTAAAACTTCAGTAAGTCGCATTACATTAAGGCACACCAACTCAATCAATGGTAGCAGTGTACTTCTTCCTTCTCCATTACTTTAGGTCTTGCAACTCCTGTAGCCACCAACCAGCAGTGTTTGAATGGATATTAAAAAGGAGTAGATATCTGTCCTCTACTATCATGCCATTGGCCATTCTACTGACTTTATAGGTTTTTGGTACCAACCAGAAACCTATAGGTAACGGGGTCTGTGGCTACTAAAGCAGAAAACTATGTGAGATAATTTATCATTCATATGTTAGATTCAAGAGAGTTCTAGATGCTGTTCCTACACTCATGCAAAGCAAGGGGCTTTGTCAGTATTTTTCCTAAACTGAGAGTTACCTGGAGTATAGGTAACTTCATGCAGGTACAGATCACAAGTAGAAAGCTTTGCACCAACTTTATGAATCCAAAGCAAAGCTTTAATGATCTCTGAAGTGCAAGTCAACTTAAATGTTCTCTGACACTAAATGTATCCATGCACAGGCTTCTTTGGGAGTCCTTGAGCAAAGGACAGACTTGGCTAGTCCCACAGCCCAAGGGGAGTGGCACTAAAGACAATCTGCTTTTTTGGGAAAAGTTATCCTTGCTTAAGCAAAATGCAATATATTTGTGATCCAGACACAAACACAAACTGTGACTGAGTGAAGGTCAGATAATCCAGACATGGGTGCCTAAAGCATCACCAGAATTATTCGTTCATACTCAGGATAAATATTTCTTCACTATATTTGTTTCAGACTGGATTTTTGCAAAGCCAAAATGTTTGGAGAATAACTCTAAACAGGAAGTTAAATCATCTGACATAATTTCTTTGAGATGCTCTAACATCACAGAATCGTAGAACGGTTTGTGTTGGAAGGGACCTTAACAATCATCTAGTTCCAACTCTCCTGCCAAAGCAAGGGACAATTTCCACTAGACCAGGTTGCTCAAAACCCCATACAACCTGGCTTTGAACACTCCCAGGGATGGGGCATCCACAACTTCTTTAGACAACCTGCTCCAGTGTCTCACTACCCTCATGTGTGTTTTTGAACAAGAACTTGAAATTTGCATTGACTTATATCTTCTACTTTTCTCTTAATGCTTCAAAAAAAAATCTGAAAAAAACTTGTACTTAATGGACATATTTTCCCTGTAATTCTCTGTAATTTGGCTTATTACAGGAAAGGTCAGGAGGCAGAATTACAGACCGGAAGGCTCGCTCTCTTGTTTTCACACTGTTAGCACTCCAATAAGCAGCACAGGCACTTGTAACCCAAGAAGTCTTTTGACTTGGATGCAAAGAGAAGGGAAGAACCTGGGAGTGAGAGAATGTACAAAGAGCCCCATGGAGAGGAGGATAGGATTGCATTCTCATGGGGTTAGAAGGAGGAAGAAGGGGCAAATCAGAAACTGCTTTAGACTGATTGGGAAAGTAAGGGATACAGGATGCTTCTTGGTGAAACACAGGAAGAATGGAACCATTAATGTCAGGGACTATAGAAGAAAAGATAGGCAAAAACAGACTGAATGAGAGAAATGGAATGAGGTTATAAAAGAAACAGTCATTCTGTAATTGGTGCAAAATATGTTGCAAGGAAAGATTGAGACAAAGCAAAATCTGACAAGAAGCCAAGGCAGGAAATTGGAAAGGAAAATGAGAAACAAGGAGTTAGACTAGCATACTGAATATTGAAAATGAGTTTGGGAATAGGATTGATATTTCTGGCTGTCCTGTGCATAAGTATTATAACAATATTCAGATGGTATGGTATTTTCCTACAAGAATCTTGTCTTTTCTATTCACAATGAGAGAAATGACAGCCATTTAAGACAGCCAGGTGCAGTCCAAGAGAACTGGATTCCATCCCTTCCTCTTTCCCAGAGCTTTTGCGTATCAAGGAGTAGATCCCTTAAAATATTTCAAACGATATTTACAAATTGGAAATCTTTCATTGTCTGCGAGCCTGACATGAGATCCTGGAGCCTGATTTATAGTGCTAAGTAAAGCATCAGAATTTAAGTCTGAGGTGTGGATTATGCCTGGATAGAATCTGGTTCTTGTAACTTCTCTTGTAACCTACATTCAGGTAAACAGGCATCTAAATTCAATGCATCCTGAAATTGTGAGATGGTCTGTCATCCATAGCGTGATGCATCTGCTGCACTCCTTGAGACAGGCTTCCAGGTAAGAATACCTGCCATGCGGAGTGCAAGAAACAAGAACTCTTCTGCAGTCAGGTGATGAATATAGTCACCAAGAGGGAACAGAGATGAGGGTCTGGTGCCAGCTTCATAGGATTCTTTCTGGTTTTTAATCAATAGTGGTCTAATACAAGATCATTACACATTCTGGGTAGCGGGTCTGAAATCTGCTATACTCAAGTTAAGCTTTCTTTGTTATCATCACACACTTATATTCCCAGCCACACAGTATCTCAGCTTCAGATGAGATGTCATACTCCAGAGAAGAAAGGATTGTGCGATAAAGGGTTGATAAAGGGTTGTGCCTTGATGCTAAAGGCACTTCTCCGAGAGACAGTTTTAATCTCTGGAGTCTAAACAGGGCTTTAATCACAGATGTCCTGTTACTGGAATAAGCCTCCTATACACAGAACAGTATATAAAGTCTCACTGCTGGTGTTGCGTTCTAAGAGAGGATGCAGGTATCCAGTATTCCTGTTTGCTCCTCTGTAGCCTCGAAAACGCCATCTCCCTCTGGAGAATCAACTCACCCCCTGAAGTAGCCTAAGTTTCAGATAGAATTAATGGGAATAGGTGTCCTTTATTTGTGCTGGATCACTCCCTGCAGATATTGAAGTAATTAGTTCTCTCCTTCAACTGTACGAGTCTAAGCTCCTCCCCAAAGCACCTCAGACTTACTCAAAGCTAGTATAAGTTAAGTTATATAAATTAAGCACATAATTTCAGTTTACAAGATTTCATCTTTTTTTCTTTTAGATCTTATCTTAACTAGAAATTTTATTCAGAAGACTGATTGAGGTCAGAGTTCTAAAAAAGAAGTAATCATGTAATTAGGACCCATACTCTTAATACATATGCATAAGGGAAATCAGATAAGAAAATTTAGATAGCACTATTATTGCCACTTCCTATATTCCTGTCTCATGAATGCTTGACTATTTGCTTAACTATGCAATTCTAATGTGGTTTCGTGTACAGCACACACAGGCACACCATATCTTAAGTGATAACTTTAGATTTAGAAACAGAGAATATTTGAAGCTTTTAATTCTATGCTACACTTTATTTCTTTACTGTTATATAAAAGTTGCTTCACAAATCTCATGGAAAAGAGATAAAACTTGTGTCACTGGGAGAGATCGTCTGCCCTGCAGCTTGATTTCTACCACCACAGCCTACTTAAACATCACTGGGTTTCAGAGACAGCTGGCCAGGCATTTTTATTCTTCTGTTTTTCACTACAATTTTTCATGTAACCTACATAGTTGTTTATTAGTGTAATATATTGAAACTGAAATACTACTTTTCTTGCTTTCTTGCATTATTCTGAAACGAGATACACCAGCAGGATTCGTTGTTGCAAAAAAAAAAGTTTATTTTAAAAAATGCTTACATAAATCATTTTATTTAGACTTTATGTAGATGCAGAAACCGCCCTGAGGTGGTGAAGTCTTCAGCGTAGCTGAGGTGAGCTTTGGATGTTGTTAAACATACCTCTAACAAATCCTGAACTATTAAGAGTTGCTAAACCAGACAAATTATTGCTGTCTGCTTCACTTGCTGTCTCATATGCTGGAAAAAATACAAGAAAAGGCTGTCAAATTGAAGAGCTTCTAGGATATGAAGGCCAGAAAATTATGGAGGAATTTAGGCTGCCTAATCTAGATTTCTTTTAAGAATTTCTTTTTTAGTGGCTTCATATTGATTTCAATAATGTCAAATAGGTGCATGCATGTATTTTTATACATGATCAAATATATTGCTATTCTGTATTAAAGGATATCTGAATTTTTTGAAG